AATTGTAGTAAAATTATAAAGGAGATTAAGAAGACGAAAACGTTATTAACTGGCTATCGTGTTTTATTATAAGTTTTTCTATTAGTTAATATTAGTTAAATAAACTAATAAAATGAACACATGATTATAATTGCGTGTATTATGTTTAGGTCGTCGACGAGTTAACGAGATTATGAGGGGACGGCTAGAGCAAACCCTATAAAAAAAACTAAGGTGAGTCAATAGACTTTTCATAAACCTTGTACATAGTCGAAAACTATTTTCTGGAAACGGCTCGATTAGTCAAATTAGAATATTATTAATTGTGGATTATGCCTATATGTGTAGTATGAGATATGTCATTGTTTTGCATTCTGTGACATTTGCATGCTTAGTAAATTTGATTAATTGCAACTATGATATGCTATATGAAATGTTTGATATTTGACTATGACCTTGTTGATGTTATGAATCTTGATTATGATAATACGAATATTGCATGCTTGTACTTGATTTACGATCGATTATGCGGGGTTATGCATAGAGGGCAACGGTAGAACCTAGCACTTAGCTTGAAACCCTACCCGTATACATTCAAGCCTGGTTGGTTGAAAAATACCTTCTAGGAAAAGACCTTAAGCCATTTACGAGTTGCTCGGTCTTTCTAGATGCCCGTGCGACACATGGTATGTGTACACTTCGGTGTTTGCAGACTGAAGTGATGTTGGCCATTCAAACGAGGCTTGTACAAACATCACGTAGGTGTTGGGAGGTGGCGGATGAATGTTACCGCTTGTACCAACACCAGAACAACACTGCGATGTACTTATACATTGCATAGTCGGATTAGTGAAAGTGAAGTCTTGGGGTCGGTGTGACGGGTGGGAGTCGCAAACCACCTAAAGCATTTGGCTGGCTAGACACACAAGTAGCGAACGAGTTTTCCTTTGGGGTTAGGTATTACTACAAGACTACCTACGCCTATACGATTATGATACAATTGATGTCACACAAATGAATGATACGAAATTGAATAGTTGAATTTTATGTGAAAGATGATTGATTATTGATTGATACGTGAATTTTGTTTATATGATTATAATTTGAATGATTGACTCGTTAGGGGATGATATGTTTTCACTTTGATTGTGTGCAAACTCCTATTGGCTCACGAAGCATTTGCTGATACTTATTTCTTTGTTTTGTGCCTTTATGATTGGTACAGGTAGCTTAGGGGTTTGGCTTGGTGCTTTGTGCCTTTTGTAAAGCCCGCAGATCCGGGCTAGTCAATATAGAGGCAATAGGGGTCGAAAATGACTTTTCGACAAAAGATTATTTAGAATAAATAATCTTAACCAATTTGTAGAATATGTCACAAGGTTTCTGTACATATAAAGAACGCCAAAATCCGAGTTATAACGAAGAAGTTATGGCCCGTCGAAGTTTCGTGACGGAACCGGCACGGCACCTGGAAGCGTAAATAGTGAATTTATGATGGAGGACTTTTTAGCCTTAGTGATCTAAATGAAATTCGTAGAATATGTTAAACTAAGAGCGTCGATAAAAAGAACGCCCAAATCTGAATTTGTATGAGGAAGTTATGATTTTTCTAAGATTCGGCTTAGCAGTGTACAGCCCGAAACTCGAATTTTAGTTCGAGCAGTTTTTGGCTTATGCGACCTAAATGGGAATTGAAGATCTCATTAATAGGAACTCAACGGTAAAAGACAGACGAAAACGGAGTCCGTATGAAGGAGTTATGAATTCTTCGCGGTCATTTAACAGTCTAAACGCCTCCTACTGTTAAATTTGAGATTGGTCAAGAATTAGCCAATGGAGTCTAAACGAAAGTTGTAGATCTTGATTTTACCTACGCGTTGAAAAAAAGAACGTTGAAAATGAAGCTCGTATGCGAAAGTTATGATTGATTTTTCTAAGTTTGAAGGCTGATGTGACGTGGCACCACCAGAATTGGACACGTGGCACCACCAGAAGGTTGCCACATGCACCAATCAGACTCGGCGAGTCCATCAGATTTTTGCACTATAAATAGAGGTGTCGGGTTCCATTCATTCTCACACCTTCAAACCCTTCTTTCTCTCTCTAAACTCTTTCTCTCTAAGCCTCCCTAACCCCCCAAAGCCTAGGGTAACTCCCTAGCACAAGGCGGAAGCCCCAGAGCGCCCAACGGCTTCAAGAAAAGAGCCTTTCGGCTCGGTAGACGCTGCTCCAGCGAAGCCCGATTTTGCGAAAAACCCGCTGTAAGTGAGCTACTCCTACGCTAGTTTTAATATAGCTTCTAATTAATTATAGTAACATTATTAGGTAGACTATTAATTTGTCGCGGATATCGGTAGACTAAACCCTAGTGGTATTGATACTAGGTTTTATCGAAGGAAATTGTTTTGAGAGTATCGAACTGCTGTCCGAATGTTGAGTTACCACCTATCAGGTGAGTGCATAGTCCCTTTCATCTTACACATAGATATGAAGTATTTTAATATAAATTACGTGCTATGTGTGCATATTGTCTGAATACTTGCTGTCTATGCTGAGTGAAAGATTTTATACATGTTTTAAATGATTTAAACTATATATGTATTTTATATCTACGAAAATGTTGGGGTAAAACACGGGTAGATATAATAGATGAAATATGAGTTAGATGATGAGTTGAGAGGTGATATAGACTATGAGGTGTGGGTGAGAGGTGTACGATGTGAGAAGCCTTTTTTCCAAATGATGTCCCTATCATTCAGCAGAGTATGGATGACAACCACGGACTATCCTAGATAGTCCAGTGGAACACTAGCAGACTCACAACCTGTAGGTGTTGTGAATGATGTGTTCACCCGGTGTACTCTAAACCTTGGTGATCATGCAGACTTGATACCTAGACCCTGGCGATCATGCAGACTTGGTGCCAAAACCTTGGCGACTATGCAGACTTAGTGCCTATTGTATAAATTCTGGCGACTATGCAAACTTAGTGCCTAAACCCCGGTGATGATGGACTTCGTGCCGATTCCTTAGGATGATCCTTAGGAATGTATGAACGAGGAATAGTTGATTCTTAGGGTAGATCCTTAAGAATAAAGTAGATAATAGGGATGGATAATTGGGTTGATTGTTTGATTGTTTGAAAATAATAATTATATTATTGTGGGTTGAAAACCCTATGTACTCACCAGGTTTCCCAACCTGACCCACTCAATTTATTTATATCACAGGTGTTGATATGAAGTCACATTACACTGAGAGATTTAAAGAGATGTAGATCACTAGTTTAAATAAATGTAAGTTCTGTTTATACTTATGTTTTTGTATTAACGATGACATCCCAAATGTTTTAAAATGAACAAAATACGTTTGGCTAATGAACCGAGACCCAGATTATCAACCAAAATCCTACTTTGGGTATTGTCTCATGCACAGACTCCTCTCCATTCAAATTGGTCGCTAAAGTGAGATTCATTGTGGCAATATAACTACTTCAATCCTTAAGCATTTTGGCGGACAGATTCCTACCAGCACAACACCATCCGAAAAGCATAATTTCTTTACATTCTTGTACTTTAGCACATGAAAATGTTTGAGTTACATACTGATGGTTTCACATGGAACCTTGACGTTGACAACAATAAAAACCCTTATCTGCTCGTCACAACCAATGATAAAAATCTTGAAAAATCCTTTGGTTTTAAACCCTCAAACTAGACGACATGCACAACTTCTCTACCATTTGAACATCTGGTTTTCTATGTAAGAATCTGCATATCGGTTTTTGGCGGCGTCAGGTTAAAGAATATGTAGATTTTCGGCTTTAGAGTACAAATTGGTGATGTCTGATCGTTTCTGGAATAATTTTTGGGCGAAGATGAAGGTGGTAGAAAAAAAATCTAGGTGAAGGTGGTGGACAGTGGTGACAGTCGTTGGTGATGGTGAGAACCAGTAGGGGGTCGTGGATGGTAGTGAAAAATATCGATTGTTCTTGAGTATATGTGTGTGTGTGTTTTCTTAAAGTATGTATGTTCATAAGTGTGTGTTTTGAAGAACAAAACCCACATAATCTGATTTGTATATGTGTTCATGAAGATGTGTATGATTTTTACTATGTGTGTTTGTGTTCATGGAAATGTTATCGGGTGTTCATGAAAGACAAACCTAGAGAGAGAGGTGCTCTTCTTTTACTTTTACCTAACTAAAAACATTAACTTAAATATATAAAAAAACTAAAAACATAAATATAATGATATAATAATCTTTTCAACATGACAGGACCGTATCACTAAAAAGATCCAAAATAGACTCAAGCGCACCACATATTTTTGACACCAGCAAACTTTTTTGGACATAATCCACATATTTTTGACAACCATGAGGACTTTTTTGCAATTTTATCTTAATTTATTAATCTATCTTAAATTCATTTCGCATGTGCAGTAATTTGATATGCCAAAACAAATGTATTACGGAGGAAAACACAAACATATAACCGTTTATTAATTTTAATAATGTTTTAGGGGTTCGAGTTCCATGTTCAAAATTAGAAAAAATCCATTCTTTTTAAATTGGTTAAAACCAATTTTCCAACACTTTAATTTTGCACAAATAAAAAATATAGCTTCCGGCTACACGCTAGTTTTGCAAATACGCTCGATGTCTTCAAAGTGGAGGTACTCTGTCCTTGTTACAAGCAATAGTGCAAATATCAAACTTCTTCATTGTAACGTCAATAAATTAGTCAATTGATTTATCATACCATATCGTCAAGCTTTCAGATATTCAAATGCCACCATCATTTGTAAAATCACCATCAACACTTGGGCGTAGGTCCCCGGCACCATCTAGATAGACAAGATGTTACACAAGAAAGGACACAATAATTCTCAATTATATAAGATCGTACCAACACCCAAAAAGTAAATTACATTTCACGTGACAAAATATGTGTGCACTTTTAAAGCTCCAAACTCCATCATCTCCATATCATCAACTACATTCACTTATTTTTTTCATCAATGGCTTCAGAAGGAAAATATAATCATGAAACAAGTATCCCTTCAAGTTTATGGACACGGGATCAGTGGTTCATAACCATAACAGCCATGGTGTTAAGTTTGATCATGGGATACTTGGTTTATGATGCTGTCATGTCCACAGCAGCTGAAATGCTGCAAAGTCTGCTAATGATTTCACCTCTGATCTTGGTCATTGTGGTTCACTGGCTCTCGGCTCCTAACCGGTTTAGCATCCCCATGCCAGGTTCCGAGCCAAATGCCATCCATCGAGCCGGTGGCTCACCATGGGGTATAACATTGATTCTTGCTCTACTGTTTTTCCTTATATCCCACCAGCCTTCCCTTCGTGGTTTTCTTTTTTAGCTGTCTTTAGCTAGCTTTTATGATTATGTAATATGTATGAACTAGTTTAGACGATTAGGCAGCTATGTCCATTTGTTATTGCTATCGTGCACTTGTTAGTTAATTTTGTTCCTCAACGATCGGCTATATGTGAGCTTAGGTTAGTTAATTGTCTCTATTGATTTTAGATTTTTAGTAGTCTACAAGTATTTTGAAAAATTATGTATTGTTCTGATGTAAATAATTCATTCCTCGTTCAAGATTTATGCAACTATATATTATTGGATAATTATATCAGTTGTATTGTATGCACACTTACATGTAACATGATACATACGATGACAATGATTGAAATTTATTCGATTTGTTGAAAAATAAGTTTCCAAACATAACTATCAAAACCAAAAGGTGGGAAAATGGATAAATTGGAATAAAAATATGTCAAAACCTATCATTTTTGTTATATGAGGCCGGTTGATCTACAAATACATTTAAAATAACTAATTTCTGAAATATCTTTAAAAGAAAAATATCAACATAACTTATAATTTTTTTGCAAGTTTTTTTTTATATGAATGCATTTTAAGATTTTTTTTTTGTCCAGTACTGACTGTTTCATTATAGCCGTTTTATGCTTCTCATTTTAAGATATTATAGATCAAAATAAAATAAATTGACTCAATTTACTTGAGCCGAAATTCCTCAATTATATGAAACCTTACCATTGAGAATTAGGGTCATAAACGAACAATATCAATAATTTGTTAATGTTTGTTTGTTTAAGTTTAACCGAACAAACAACCACGTACACATAAACGAACAAATTTTCTATAGCTACACCCGTTGGTTTGACAATTGAGGCGGAGGATCACATATTCACATGTTTACTTGTCAATTGACAATTGAGATTTGGTCTCAAATTGCTTGTTGGTGGAATGTCAAGTGTATGTCGGGGCTCTCTAGCTACGTCGTATTTATTGAGTGGAACAATAATATGAAAATATTTTCTTTGCAAAAGAAATGTCTTGATGCACTCTCGTTAACGACGTATTGTGCGATTTGGAAGTTTGACAATGAAATGATATTTGGAACGGTTAAAGAAAACCACGACTCTATCTGATTATATACTATCACAATTTTTAATTTTCTTTTTGATTTTATAATAAGAATAATAATGTTAAAAGTTAATTAAGTTGGTTGGTTGCAAAACCTCTTTATTTATATAATCTCCATGGGATTGCTTTGTTTTGCGTAGCCCTTTGCTTGGCTTTTTATTAAATTTTTGTGGTTAAAAAGTGAACGGGATTTCTATTGAACATATTATTTTGCTCATATTCGTTCATTTATATTCGTTAAGATGTTTAACAAACTTAAGCGAACGAATATAAAATATTATAAACAAACGAACAAGGATACGTGAATTTAACTGAGCGACCATAAATGATTAAACTTAAACAAACTTATATAGACATAAAAGAACATAAACATCCAAACCAAGAACAATATGTAAACAAAAATCCAATTATATCAATGCAAATCCTACAACACAAAACATTCAAAACTCCATAAATATTTCAAAAATAAAGTATCGTAAATGAACATAAATACACACACACAGTCGGACTTCGGTCCATAAATATATGTTTATGTGTTATGATGTATGTATTCCGGACTTCGGTGCGATGCCGGGCGGGGCCCGATGTCGGACTTCGGTGCGATGCTGGATGGGGCCCGATGTCGGACTTGTTCGATGCCGGGCGGGGCCCGATGCAGTAGGTAAGGCCAATATATGCTATTATGTGTTTATTGTATGGTATGTGGTAGTTTAGGGGAGCTCACTAAGCTTTGTGCTTACAGTTTTCAGTTTTAGTTTTAAGTACTGCTGCTAGCAAAGTGAAGGACTCGGGATGATCGCAACAGTCTTCTAGCCGTGGGATATGTCACTCTGATATTTGATACGATATTTTGATGCTTTGACAAGTTGTGATGTTATTTTTGAGATACATGGTTTATGATGTTTATATGTTGATGATATTCATGGTTTTAATAATGATTTGAAAACAAAATTTTTGGACCGTATTTTTGGGATGTTACAAGTTGGTATCAGAGCCTTGGTTCGAGCGATTCGGCACACTTTCAGGTGTGTTTGAACTCAAACTAAGGAATTGGTATAGAAATTTTTAAAAGAAAAACCATGTTTATAAAAGGATTTTGAGAAAAGAAAAGAGTTTTAGAAAAAAGCAAAAAGAAATTTGAAAAAAAAGGTGTGGTGCATGCAATCAGTCGAGCTCAAGTAAGTACTCCCAAATTACCCATACAAGTTTATCTTCTGATATGATTATCAACTTTATGAGAACTGCATGCTAGATTAGGTCTAAGGATTTAGGGAAGATACCTTATGTGCCTGTTATATGTGTATTAGCTTTGAGAACTCCATGTTAGTACAGATTAGTCAGTATGATGGTCAGAGTAGAATATGCTTGATTATGTGTACTCAATGCTCGAATGTTTCTTTCTTTGTCTTTTAGGAGTTCCAGTTGTCTTTTATTAACTAGTAAACGAATATGTTAAGTTACATATTGTGAGGACTAAATAATTTCAGAAGGTTAGGTCTAGCTTTATTTTGCAACTCTTGTTTGAGTCCAACCATTGTACGGTAGGATCCCTCATTCGAAGAATTATCTAGTTTGAGTGATATGTAATAGTATTCACGAGCTAGATAGAGGAAGACATCAGGGACTTCTTATGCAGCTGATGGTAGAGAGCGGGATGGTGATTACCCTAAGGCAAGCCTAGGATGAGAGTAGTGCGTGAAGCAGTAGTAGTAGAAGGGACTTGGTGAAATCAAGTCAGTTCTTAAGGAAAGTACAGATAGACGTGGAAGGTAGTATGTGCCCGTACTACTGAAATCAGAGGATTCGTACTCAAGTCAAGGAAGGATGAGATGAATCCAAGGAACTTGTAGTGTATGTGATCCCTCAAGAATTGATTAGTATTCTGATATTTGTTATGATGTGTTTTTCAGAATAACGATTTTACATAACAGACCAGTCGACAGTTCAAAAGCCGGTGAGGGATCAGGCTCAAGCTCAGGAGCCGTGCAGCTAGATGACCAAACTAGGGAGTTTATCTCCTCTGAGATCACGCGTAATATCCTTGATTAGACTCCTATGATCTTTGGCACGATCAAGGAGGGCATTCTTGAGCTTTTAGATGAGAGGTTGACTGCTTTCCGAATTGAGGTGGCGGCCATGATGGGGTCGCACACACTAACATTCAGGGAGTTCAGAGCTTGTGGAGCTCCCGACTACTATGGGGCTCGGGACCCCATTCCGAGCACCAGATGGTTGGTGGATGTCGCCAATGCATTCCGTACTAGCAGATGTCCTGAGGAGGACATGGTTTTACTTACGTCCTGTGTTCTTAAGGACAGGGCACACGACTGGTGGGAGGAGGTCGAACATGCCATTGGTGAGGATGCATCTCTTGATGCTATGTCGTGGAGTGACTTTACGAACAGGTTCAGGGATGAGTTTGCACCCGTGATAGATGTGTAACAGCTGGCCAGGGAGTTCCAGGATCTCCAGCAGATGATCGAGATGGTGATTGAGATCACAGTGATGTATGTATTCCGGACTTCGGTCCGATGCTGGGCGGGGCCCGATACAGTTGACAAGGCCCAATATATGCTATTATGTGTTTATTGTATGGTATGTGGTAGTTTGGGGACCTCACTAAGCTTCGTGCTTACAATTTTTAGTTTTGGTTTCAAGTACTTCTGCTAGCAAAGGGAAGAGCTCAGGATGATCGCATGACACACACCAAAGTCTTCTAGCATAGGATATTCCACTCTGATATTTGATACGATATTTTGATACTTTGACAAGTTGTGATGTTATTTTTGAGATACATGATTTATGATGTTCATATGTTGATGATATTCATGGTTTTAATAATGATTTGAAAACGAAATTTTTGGACCGTATTTTTGGGATGTTACATATAAATTATTAAATATAGAATTATATACTTCAATAAGATATCAATATCATCAATATAGAACATATAATAATAGACTATATCATTAAATATGTACACTATGTCATGTATCATATTCTAAACGAAATATGGAACTAATTGATTAGTTCAACAAACAAAAATCAAAGTAGACTATAACATTATATATATATATATATATATATATATATATATATACACACACACACACACACACATGTGGAATATCTGGAATCTAAACTAAATAATCATTAATTGAAACAAGTTCATTGCTTGAGTGTGATTCTTCAGCACCATCATTAATTTGACCTACAAAAAAGTATTCCATTAATATTTATTATTATATAAATATTTACAAAATTGTATTCTAAACATAATTTTCTGAATATGTAAGGACGTACGGGTAATGCTTTTCAATTATTCTAATCAGAATAATATACTATGTACTATGTAATGTAATAAAAAAATGTGATGAAATTGGACTAAGTACCACTTTTGCTTCAAGCTAAACTGGTCTATATTCAACTTTGACTTCACATACCACTGAAAAGGAGGATATTAACTAACCTAAACCTTTCACCCAAATAATCAAAATAATAAAAACAATGAGGAAACATGTTTCAAGCTTCAAGCATCAACATGGTATGAGATTTCCCTAAAATGATTACACCAATATTTCACACATGCACCATTTAGTGTACTTGTCTAAATATGATGGAAAAAGAATAAAGTTTATATTAACAAGAATATGATTTAATCATTTACAAGCAAACCAAAGGAAAAGAAACTTTTGATAAGTAGCTATTTCCATTTCAAGGTTAGTGAAGGTGCATGATCACTTGACTTGATGTAACGATGTTGTTCTATTGTGCTTATCTTCAACCTATATATGTAAAGTTCACACTTTAGAGCCATAAATTGCTATTAGATAGCAGTTAATTAGGAGCATGTCTATAGTTTAAATGCATTAGAAATTAAGTTATGATTATTCTCTTAGGCATTCC